CCACGGTTGCAGACACGGAGATTGCTCAGTCATATCTGGCGTATGGATTCGTTGAGGATACCGAAACAGTTGCTGTATGACCAACTAACTGCGGGGAAGCGACATGTGGGACAACCGAATTTACGTTTCCAGGACATGATCAAACTGAGCCTATCAATTTCTAATGTTGAGTACAGGTTCTGGGAATCGAAGGCGTTTGATCGGAATGCTTGGCGCAAACGGATCACAAAGGCAGTTTCCGTTTTGCAAGAGAAAGGCTCCATGCATGAAAAGAAGAAGCGGCAAGTACGGAAGCGACAGACGCCGATGGGTTGTACTCTATAAACATCGAGTACATAGTGCTGTAACACTTTCGGTCGCGAGTGCCTGAGTCGAACAGGGCTAGTCAGCCATGAGCGAGTTCACTCGAAGCCACCACCAAAGCGACGACGGGACCGGTAGAGAACGTAGGCAAAACCGGCGCAGCGTTCCTAGGTACACTGCATTCGATCTACTAAAGGCGTCCTTGCATGCTGGGTCTCTATAGTTCAGGTGGTGGGTTTGCTATATTGCCTCACTATTGTCTACGTCAACTATTTTCTATCAACTACGACCCGTCGCTAATTTAACTGTAGTTAACTTTGATAACATTATTGCGTTTGTGACATATTCTTGAGATATATTTTCTGACGTCTTGAAACTACATTGGATATGTTGGCAACTAATTTATTTCATATGCTTATTCATAAAAATGTCGGCATTTCTGTATGCATTATGCGATTGATTTTATTTGGTATTGTCATTTCTAGTGATTGGCTGTTGTTTGATATCCCCGGTGTGGCTGCGCTTGATGTGCATGTTGACTAGGTGCCTACCTGTCTAGTACCCACTACCTCGTCCATACTGACTCCAGAAGACAGTTGGTCGTTGCTCGAGGGGACTTGGTGCACGGTCCTTGTGGCTGTGTTAGAATCAGAGTGGTTCCATTCGCTCAGTGTGGAGCGGACTACGGTCCAGCCATCGTCTTGTGTGTGCTTGATTCCTCAACTACAAAGTGCTTGTGTCTGCCTGTGAAGGAGTGTGGGCCGGCTCCGTTGATGAAACGTGGCTCCCATCCACATGCCTCCCGGTCTTGTTGCTTCGGGTTTACACTGGATAAGGGGTGTGTGGTTGGAGCTGTGGGTGGTGCAGCGTAAGCGAAGCATGATCCCTCTGTAGGCGCAGTGACGTGTGTGCTACTGGTTCATTTGGATTATTTCCCTCTATCCTCTCTCCATCTTCTCGCAGCATTGTCACTGTACGCTCATTCGAACCGGATTTACCAGCTTTACACAGTGATCCATCATACGTGAAAATATCTTCTACGATTAGAGGCTGTGCCATCACTAACCGTTTTCACTGGCATCTGTGAATAAGCGCAAGCGTTTAATTCAATCGTATTGAGTCGATTGCATTTCTGTGTGACACCATTCGATACAGAATTCTCGAGGCAGGCCGAAAAGCCTAAGCTTACTCCGATCCAGTGTTTCTCAACACAGCTGTGAAAAAATCTGTGTTCAGCGCTCTGTTCAGGTTGCAGTTACTCGCCATTCCTTGTGACCTTGTCAGCCAGTGCGGCTGCATAACCCATCACACGGACCGCGCGACTACACCGACCGTTCGTTTGACCTTGCAACCACCACGCTCAGTTCAGTTCAGTTCAGTTCAGTTCAGTTCAGTTCAGTTCAGTTCAGTTCAGTTCAGTTCAGTTCAGTTCAGTTCAGTTCAGTTCAGTTCAGTTCAGTTCAGTTCAGTTCAGTTCAGATGGGGACTGGAACGATAGGAGAATCCCGTGAGTATTCCATCTTGAGTGGATCGTTGAGCCAGGAATTGATGAAGTGCTCAGTTATTGATGGATCTAAAACGGAAACACCCGTATCGCACCCTGGCCAAACAGTTAATGCCAACGTTTCCTGCGCTAGCAGTCCCTGCTGTGGCAGTCACGTGAAATAAGCAAAGGATAGGAAGAGAAATCAAAGGTACGGAATAGGGAAGTGCACTTAAATAAGAAAATAATACCAATACGTGAAGAAAAGTAGAGAAAAGAAAATCGAAGTACGAAGATGCGAGTTACTCAGGAAAATGGAAAGGTTTCGTGTTGCCACCCAAGAGCGTCAAGTTGCCGCTCAAACCCCTTAACCGTAGATTCCCTGATAACACTTTCCTGAAGCATGTTCCAGTGGTCGATGTCTCTGCGTGACAGCCGGATTTTCGCCCTAATCCGATCGGACCGCGGTTTGTCCAGCTTCAACGAATGACCGCGTAGAACAGACAATCTAGCGGGACTAAATAGCCAAGATAAATCTGGACCAACCTTCCCAGTTAAGATACGGTAGGTTAGAATTAGGTCTCCTCTAAGCCTTCGGTAGTGCGTTGAACGCATTCCCAAACTAAGTAGACGCTCGGGGTACGTCCGTCCCCGTGATCCCTCGACTAACCTAGTACCCACTCGTAAAACCCTCTCTAGCTCCATTTTGTCCCGGACGAGGCAGGGCGGACAAGCCTGGACGCAGTATTCCAGATGAGGCCGAACGAAAGCCGAGAACAACCACGTAAAGATGCCGCTCGTCAAGATTCCGAAAGAACGTCGGATTAACCATAACATGCGGAAACCTCTGCTTGCGGCTTTCTTCCAGTTGTCGCCGGAGTGTAAAGCCGAAGAGTGTACGACACCTAGGTCAACCTGGCTAGATACACGGGGGAGTTCAACACCACCGACCAAGTACTTCGCAGGAGGACAACCTCCTCCAATTCGAAGAACGGAGCACTTTGCCTGATTTATGGGCAGTAACCATAAAGTAGACCAGTCCCAAAGCTTATCCAAAGCTCGCTGAATAGCTTCGGAACCCGCAGGAACATCAACAATGTTCCACAGCTTCAGGTCATCAGCAAATAGCAGCGATGGTACCTCAAGCTACGCGGGTAGGTCATTCACATAGATAGAGAACAGCAGCGGTCCAAGAACCGAGCCATGCGGCACGCCGCTGAGGACAGACTGCCTAAATGATAGGCCCCGGCCTACCCGCACACACTGTTCTCTACCCTCCAAGAAGGCAGTCACCCAATGAAGGGCGCGGCCAGATACCCCGTAGGAGGACAGCTTTTGCGCGAGCCTCAAATGGGGTACCTTGTCAAATGCCTTCGAAAAGTCGAAGAAAAGCACGTCCAGTGTGTGGCCGTTATCCACTGCATCCGCCCAATTTTCGCGAGCCACCAACAGATTCGTCAGACACGAAATCCCTTCCGGAATCCGTGTTGTACATTGCTAAGTAGATTAAATCTACTCAGATGACTCTCCAATGAATCTCACACCAGTTTCTCGAGGAGTTTGACTACTACACTCGTCAGACTAACTGGCTTGTAATTTGCAGGCAGACCTCTGTCCCCATGTTTGAAGATGGGACAGATGACAGCTTCCTTCCATTCGGAAGGCAATGCACAACTGGCAAGCGATTTCAGAAACACAATAGCGAGCGGTCCACTTAGTTCCGCAGCCAACTCATGCAACAGTTTCGGGTGAATTAAATCAGGCCCAGGGGCCTTAGAAGGGTTCAGTCCTTGTAACAGCCTACGAACTGCAGTCTCCGCTACAATAAATTCAGATAGTTCTGAACCCTCTGGGGTCCTGCAAACCAGCTCAACGCCTGTCAAAGAGGTTTCCCGACGTGCGCCGCTCTCAAAGCTGTAAAAGTACAGAACGCTAACCAACCCACTGGGTCAGGTAACGACACCAAATTGAATGGCAGAAAGACGAAACCGAAGAGACTCCCATCGAAAGACATTTGCGGGTTAGGAGAATGTCATCGGGTAGTAAAAGTCGGTCTGGCTTGTTCGCACTGTTTGGAATGGTACCATACGAAATGTGCAAATGGGTCCCAACAACAGTTACGGGAGCGAAATAGATCCCAAGATGCATTTTGGTTCTGTACTGCGTGTTCCATCATCCCCCTCGTTAAGTGCTTGCTTATGCTAGCTGAGAAATGCGACCGATTAATCACAGAAGCAGAGCAGAGGATCAACAATAAGCTAACTTCCATGGAAGCGAGTATGGACCACAGAAGCGTAGCGGCTGCTAAGCAACGGAATGCTGAACAATCCACTTCCCCTGCACCGCAATCAGCCACGTCTCCATCTCCGTTGTCTTCTCCAACTTTGGTAGAACGCCGGGCAAATACAGACTGTACCTACGTAAATCAAACAGTACTCACAGCAACGAAAATCAGGCACCATTCAAAACATCTGGCTAAGCAAATTCCACTAGACTTGACATCTAGTATTAACAAGGATGAAGCAGCCAAACACCAACCCTTGGTACCTGTAGCTCAAATATATCTTGTCGAGACTAAGCCTCCTACAACATCGGTTATATATGCAGGGATTGCTGCAATGGTCTACCGAGAGGCCGCCGTTGCGTCCTCTTCCATTGTAAACACCGTTAACGCAAATAGAGAGAAAAACAGCAAACAATCACTTGTCAACAAGTCATGACA